CAAGTAAGTGTTTGAAATAATTTTGGGAAATACACAATAGACAGAGTAATAAACCGGTCTTCTCCTCATTGGAATTTGTGAATAAATCTACTTCAGATGGAGGCTAAGCCTGTAAAAAATGCGTCTTCACTTATATTATTCAGCAGTTAAAGTGAACTCCTACTGCTTGTGCAAACGGGACAATATATCATTTATTTAATTATGTAGTTTGTACATCAAGATTACTTATATACATCCAGATTTACTGATATACATCATGATTTATTTATATGCATCAAGATTTATTTATATATGTCAAGATTTTTTTTATCTATATCTTATTTTCTCCCCTGCTAAGTACTGTTTCATTCTCTTAAAATATTTCCTACCCTCCCTGTTTTGTAACATAGCCTGAGTGAATTCCTACTTGCCTTTCTGGTCAAGTTCTGCTCCCAATTCTCAGACACCTCTTTTCTCTCTGTTCTTCCTATTTCTTCAAATTAGTCCACCTTTTTCCCTACAGCAGACATCACTGTTTGTTAACAAACATTGTTTTTAATATTCAAATTTGTAACGAGGAAAACAAAAGAATCTTTTGTTACAAGAACAAATGCGCTTCTGGTTGGCACAAAAATATCAGTACATGCAGGTGACATATCAGCATTTCCATGAGTATCGTCATTGTACATTGGTACAGAATATTTCCTTATGCTTCTCGTCCAACAAGTTTTATCACATTTCTTTTCTTCCATATGACCTTCCTTCTCTCAATGTCTTCTTTCTCACTCTTCTTCTCTCACAGCCCAGCTTCCTTTGTTTCAAAAGTTTTTGGCACTTACTTTCTTCTCACTTTCGAGCACTCTTCATGGATCCTTTAATCAATACTGCATGAGTCTATTTACTGCCATTGCAGGAACTCTAGAGCTTGAGCAGACTTGTGGTCGTCCCCTGGGAATGCGCTTTGACAGATATGGAATCAATCTGATAGTAGCTGATGCATATTATGGACTACTTGAGGTGAATCCCAGGGCTCGAACAGTTAACACCCTTGTACCTTCTGCACCGGGAATAAATGGCAAGCCATTTCGTTTTGTTAATGACCTGGACATTGCACGTGATGGTACAATCTACTTCACCGATTCAAGCACTAAATGGCAGAGGTGCCAAGTGCCTCATATAATGTTTGAAGGAGAAGCTACAGGCAGATTAATGGCATATCACCCCAAAACTGGAGACATGGAAGTATTAATGGAAGGCCTTCACTTTGCTAATGGTGTACAGCTTTCACCTGAAGGAGATCACGTCCTTGTGGCAGAAACTACTATGTCAAGGATAATGAAGTAAGGATCATGTTTTTCAATATTGCCAGTTGTTGGCAGAGACATAGCTTGATATTGTGCTTTTCATAAACACACGAACTCTAAAGTTCAAAAGCCACCTTCACAATATTAATAATAATAATTGCATTCGTAGTTGCCTTCAGTCATAATTACCATCACAAGCAACGAACATTGAAACACAGAAACACAAAAAAGATCAAAATCTACCAATCACAAATCACAAAACATAACCTTTTGAACCCATTAAAGTAAAGTTCTGTTTCCTAAAAGGTCTGCTAAGATGATTGACACCAGCAAAAAACTCAAATGTAATTTGGCTTTTGAACTTCAGAATACGCATGTTTTTCAAAAGTGCAGTAAAATATTGTGCATAATCCTGCAACCAAAACGTTGGCAAACATTGTGATGTCATACTCTCTCTCTCTCTGTTCAGATATTATATCAAAGGGGAACATGAAGGCAAGTCTGAGGTTTTTGTGCAAAACTTACCTGGAGTTCCCGATAATATTCGCTTGAGCAGTCGAGGCGGCTACTGGGTTGGTATTTCCATGACACGAACTGAAACCACCCACCTGATAGAACAGTATCCCAGAGCAAGGAACTTTTTGGCAAAGGTAACAATCAATATTGCTTAAGTCAGAGTACTGTGATTCAATGTCATCTACATTCTCCCAACTCTTTTACCAGGGTTAGCTTGTATCTCAAGTCTGAAGAAAGTGTAAAATTCACTAGTGTTTGGTGTTACTCATACTTTTTTGACCCAACTCCATTAACAGCATAAAACAGATCAGTGTAGGCACATGTCTGTGTGTTCCACCCCCTTTTTTGGAGACCAGTAACTAATATTATAGATATACTGGTATAATATAGAATAAATGTACAAAAGTTAAAGTCCCCATATGGTTGTATTATTTATTTGTCTTGCTGTGTGGTTTGGCAACTGAGCACCCTGCTTTAGGGAAGAAATCTCAAAGTCAAGAAATGAAAAATAATTCATTAATAAACAACTTGAAGCAAATCTTCAAATTATTGATAATCAAAACATGAAAATTAGGTGTACAGGAGTTTAAACAGTCATGTAGCTGCAGTTTTAGTCTTTATGTTAAAAAAAAAGATAGATACACATTTACAGTAAGAGTGATTCTTAAAATATGGTAATCACTTGTTCAAATGTTGTGCTTTTCTAGCTCTGTTTGCTACGAGTTATAATATTGGTAGTTTTGTAGAACTAATGTCACTCATTATTGAACATGGTTATAGGTATTCTCTCTGACATCACTTGCAAGTCTTCTCGATAAACCTGGACATGGTTTTATTGTGGAACTGGATGAAAATGGTCAAATTATCAAAAGTCTGCATGACCCGACAGGAAATGTTGTGCCAGATGTAAGCGAGGTACATGATGAAGGTGATACTCTCTGGCTTGGTTCCGTCAAGGCTAAATACATCGCAAAGCTTGAACTGAACAATTGAACACACTGACATGGCCAAAGAATATCACCATTCCTCAATAAAAGGATACAATTATTATGGAGTCAAAGCACAGATGTGTAGATGCTAGATTAGAAATAGTTGTTTTGTTGGTTAGCAAACAAACTCTAATGCCATTGAAATTAGACCCCAAAAAAATGATAGAAATGGAGACAAATTACATGTAGTTGAATGTGTTCTGACAATGATACAAAGCAAATTTTTATCTTTTGAAATAAAAAATCAATGTTCATAACATGTACATTTGAAATTCAGCAACATCTGTCTTGTTTGAGTGAAGGGGAGGTAAGTTTTACCCAATACTTCTTTGGGATAAAGATTTTGGAGAATCAAAGACTAAAATTTCTGTTAATATGTATAGCTACCAAGGGTGGCATACAGCACTTCATTATGAGGAACTGTTTTCAATGTTTAATTTATTTCTCCTCAACTCCACATTTAATTTTCCACTTGACAGGCCAATGCTAAATTTGACATATTGTAGCTAAGAGCAGTTGTAAAAATATTTTACCACCATGTTACATTTCTCTTCCAGAAGGTTCATAAGTAAAAAATGAGATTTTACAAACATCATACCATTCCACACACCTTCCAACAGATATTTCACTTGGTACTCAAAAGCCACTGTAAAAAACTTCAATATAACAATCGACAAGCAAAGATCATTTATTCCTTAACTTGTTTCTATATTTTCTTCTGCAGTTAATACAAAATTTGAATCAAGCAGTAGGGTCTCCCACACAACAAAATAATGTTTACTGACTGCAAGATGGAAAAACTTTCACTTTGGTCAACAAAGTATTCCACAGAAACCTTCCACACCGACTGTACTGTTGTTGCAAATTTAAATTCAACTGGGACTGAACTCTCAGTTTATATAATTTTTTTAAATATCTACCTATTTTAAACTAGGGGTTACACAGTAACAACTTAAATACCTGAGAAACCTTTGCACAAAAGAGTTAACACCATTTTGCTATACCTACAGCAAATTAAAATGTGAACTTGATGCTCACTATGGTAACAGTCCTTGGAAATTTTACATTGTGTTGATTTCTTGTAGTACTAAGAGATAAGATAGTGTTCCTTCACCAACAGTTAAACACTTGATGTTATAAATTAAATCCGTTGCTGATAGCAACACGTCCCTTAAATTCCCTAAGGGTATTTTGCATTCGACCGCTATGTTTTAAAATTCAGTTTTGAGCTAGCAGTTGACATGAACAGAAGAATTCAGATTAGAAACGAAGACCCGGAGACAATTCACGCCAGAGTAAGTTGCTTTTTCCAAGAGTGTTTTCATCCTTTGAGCGAATTTCTCATCAGGATATTTGGGTTTTTCCTTTTTCAGCGAGTCATTCTGTAATCACACTATTAATCCTTGAAATGTAGAAGTGAAAAGAGGCAAGCCGATTTCGACGCGTGAACTTAACTTGAACCGTTAGAATACTACTGAGACACTGAGAATAAAATGGATCTTGAAGAACAGCGAAACGATGACAACACTTGATCTTTTCTGTTGTAGATGTTGTACAATAATATTATTAATCTAGTCATTGAAACTTTTGCCAATGCAGGATACTGAAGCAGACATTCTCAAAAATTTAACAATCCTGATTTACTTATCTTGAGCATAGAGTTCAGTGGGATACTCATGTGGATATTTTGCTACATGTTCCATGCATTCCTCATGTTGTTTTTTCAAGCGAGCTGGTAGGGTGTCATAGACATCAGTAAACATGTCCCTGACAGGCGGCTTTAGTGCTTTTTCAGCTCTTGAAAATGCTTGCATAACTTGCTGACGAGCATCACGTTTCCACTCTTCCTCCATCTCCTTATCCCACCATTCTTTTTTCTCCATGTAATTTCTAGGTAATTTAAAAATACCGTTCCTGAGTCCAGAAAGTTTAAGGTCTTTCCAAGACATCATTTTTTTTCTAAAGGGCATGCATCACACATCAAAAATGGAATTTAAGGTTGTTTTTTACACTATATTTTTGTCTGTAAAAGTTAGCTTGCAATCATTTCTATTCATTCATTCAAACCAACATCGTCAGATTTGTCACGCATCTTTTACAGATTTTCTCTTTTATAATTATTTTTCCAAGGTTTTTCTGGATAAAATGAATGCCAAGATAGTTATGGAACATGAAGAAAAAATTGACGCAAGGATAAATAAATGTATTGAGCCACAACTCACTAAGAAAAAAATGCTTTGATATTTTATCAACTTCTCCCAAATAATTCTGAAAGAAAATGTACAGAGATCATTTGGGAGAATTTATCTGCAGATATTGGGGGTTAAAGGGTTAAAAAGTCAATCAGGGAAGCTACTCTCTGAGAAAAAAAAGTAGTACAAATCCTGGTATTATGGAAATTTCAAGCTACCATTTACAAACCTGAGCCTTCCAATAGGATGGTCTTCCTTGTCCCAGTAATTAACTTCTTTCAAAGAGCGATAAACTGAAGAATCATCGCTAGTGCTATGATGACCAATTCTGTCAAAAAGGAGGGTAAGAAAGTTACAATGGATGGTATTATGGATTACTTGGCTAAAGGCAGATTACAAGAGTAGGGAAATGAAAAGGAGCAGAGAAAATCCTTCACAACTCAGGGAACAGTTTAGTTGCGCCCAACTACCAAAATGATGTTCCCAATTATGTCAGAAGTGTTTCGGATGGTTTTCTCCATGCTTAAGAAGTCTGATTGGTTAATTTGGAGCTGCCCTGAAAACTATTTATCTGTTTGGATGTCGTAGGGGAACTATGATCATCTCAGAAGTTTTAGGTGGCTTAATTTTTTCGATTCATGCAAAATTGTTAGCCACCCTGATGGGCCTGGTCAAAAGTTTGAGGACACGGTGTAGCCTAGGTGATGTTTTTCTAACAAAATTTTCAAGAGACCTTATTTTTTTTTACAAAAATAGCGATATCTTGGTTATAAAATACGAAAAAACACAACCTCTAAAAATCGCAGGTAAGTTACTAGAAAAACTCCAAATATCTTAGCGAGTAGAGTGACTATCCAGATATTTTTAGTCTTTGTTGAGATTTGGAAAATTTTAGGCAATATTTGCTCCTTAGAACAGTTATTTTACCAAAAAAAGTCATTGGGTGCCTCCGTCATTTAATAAAAAATTTGCACTTAATGTTAGGTTGTGCTGTGTAACCAGGCCCTGAAGAATTAACTGTCAGCCCTGAAACAACTCAGGGCAAATACGAATATTATTCTCAACTATTAACAGAAAAAAAAAAGTGGGCAGTAAGCTTGCATCACTGGCAATGGAGATTAACAAAATTTGGGTCTGCAAAAGTATGTTACTTTGTACAAAACCTGCTGCAAAACTCATCATCGGTAATACACTATAAGAGAAATTTTAGTAGAAAATAATTACTAGGGTTGAGATTTTAGATGTCCTAGGTTAAGGAATTAAAAGTGGGAAAACCTATGCATTTTCTTGAAAAACACCATCCTCATTATGAGTGCAGTCCACAAAATAAACATACTTTCTGATTCTAACAGCATCCATACTGGAATTTCACAGTGTGGAGGAGATCAAAGTATAATTTTTTTTTCAAGAGAACAATATACTTCTCTGTCTAACCTGTAAGTCATGGCTTCAATCAAAACAGGTCTTTGTTGATTAACTGCGATATTACGTGCTGCTTTTGTTACGTTATAAACTGCAAAGACGTCATTGCCATCCACACGAATTGCCATCATACCATAGCCCTGGCCTCGCCCAGCTGAAAAAAAAATGCAAGATGACCAAGTGTGAGGTCAAGATAGCTTGAAAATGCCTACGTTCTTGCTTATACTATGGCAAAGGCACCAATTTCTAGCCACCTACATCAACAAGCTTGGTCAATAATGGATTTATTCTAAATACAGTCAACTCTTTCTAAGAAGGAGATGTCTGTCTTAGAGAGAGTCAAATAAAGAGGGTAAAGAAAGGTAGTAACCAACTCTAGGTGTCCGTTTTATAGAGATGTCCATCTTATAGAGGTGTTGGTTAAGAGAGAGTCAACTGTATGCAGCTAAAAGAAAACAATTACAGCAGAAATAAAGCAGGCAAGATAGGCCTCCTTTGCTTGCTTGGTTAGGCAATCAAAACAAAGGATTAGCTTGATCTTCAGCCATTTAATGATTAGAAATACGGCAATTTCAGATCCTTGAGAAGGATGATGTGAAATGATGTGGTCAATCTCAGCTGGGAATTCACTGAAATACTATTGTGTGATGACTTTTAACTTTTATAAACAATACTAGTTTACACACCTATTCCATCCCCTCTGTATTGATCAACCGTAGGGGTAGATATTGCATAGCCATTGTTACGACTGTTGACACAGACAAAAGGTTAAGTTGCTTTTGAAAAGACCAGTCACTTTTAATCTACAAAAAATTGATAATTCAACTAAGGGTGCATTCTTTTGGGAGGGGGTGGGGAGGGGAAACTCCAAGATGTCTTGATCTCAGACTCTTTGGATTGTCATGAGAACAGAAATGAAATATCTGAAAATGGATTCTTTAGCAATCTTGCAATACCGGCACAAGTCCCCGCACCCCACCGAACCCACATAAGACAGGTACTGATTTCTGCGAGGGAAGGGGATAGAGTGTGGGGACTCTTGAGATCATACATTTCAAACAGTGACTTGTTCTCAGTTATTCCATTCTTATTCTGTAATGTAGGTTTCAGTGATGAAGATTGCTTTTATCATGTATGAAATTAATAGGTCATTTCTGAGCACTTGACCTCATTTTGAAAGTGAGGGGTTTTGGAAAATAAAAAATGGTCTAATTATTGTGGATTATTTTTGCTTGGGTCACGATTAAAAAAAGCTTGGTATACTCTACCAACAGTAATAATTGTCTCAAATGTCAGCCATCTCTTTGCTCCTGTTGGCTGACATTTCAGACTACACCAAAAAAAGTCAGAAGAACTTTTAATGAATAAAAAGCTAAGTGTTTCTACAGATGCCTTTTTACCAGAAGAAAATAGCAGGAGCTTCCAAAGTTGCTGCGAAATTAAGTGCAGCATGAGCATCTCCTTCACTGGCTGCTCCTTCACCAAAGTAACAGATGACACAGTTTCCAGTGCCCGCTCTTTTCATTGCATAGGCATAGCCAGATGCTGCAACGGAAGAATAACAAGATGCTTTGTCACTGATATCCTTTATCTAATTTTTTTAAAAAATAATAATAATCATTTAAAAAGGTACAGGATTATTGATGTAGGGCCTACTAGATTTTTTAAACTTTCTTTGTTTGAGAGTGATTGTATTTTGAGAGAACATAAGTCATCAGAATTAAATAACTGTTGTGGATCTCAGCTTGACAGCAAACTTTCTTCATTACCACTACCTCTCTGTCTTTATTATCGGAATTTTCATGACAAAAACAAACGGTGAAATGTTTGAAATTACCTATTACAATAAAATTAATACAGGGCTGTCATTTAAAGGCGGGGGCTGGGGATTTCCCCCGGCTACTATGAACGTGGTTGCTGGCTACTTACGTAGGAAAAGAGAAGAAAAATAGCACCACAAGAAATCCCTAGCTGTTTTATTCCCTGCCTCCTTGTTGTACTTACCCGGCAACTTGAAGTATCTTAGTGACATCCCTGTTAATATCATTATAAAAGATACTAAAAGCATAGTATTTTTAAAAACTGGTCTAACCTTGTGGCATTTGAGTAGCAAGGGTTGATGAAATAGTGACAAAGTTGAGTTCTGTAGAGCCATAATGAACAGGCATTTGTCGTCCCTTTCCATTGTCATTCTGATTAGCATAACACTGGTTCATGAAATCATCTAAAGTGAATCCTCTCCACATCAACACACCCGCTTCACGGTACTGACCAAGTACTACATCCTCAGGCGATAGAGCAGCAGCACTACCGAAGTGAGTAGCTTCTTCACCGTAGCTGGTCATATAAAATGATATTCGTCCCTAAATGATATTTAAAGAAATGTTTTTACACACTCAGCTGAAAGAAATGGTTTCCTGAATTTTGTGAGCTATAATTTAACAAAGGTGTAGTAAAAGCTTGTGCTGCATTATAAAATTTTTTATCTGTGAGGAACTTCTTTATGAAATTAGATGGTTTAAATATATCAGTTTTGGAGTAGAAGGTTTAATTACAGTTGAACCTCCATTAAGCAGCTACCCAATAAGTGCAGTGTTCTCCTTATCAGGTGGTAACCAGTAAAATTTACCTCTTGAAGCAACACTAACATTACCAGTAAATAAGTTGTTTCAAAAAATACGTAAGTTGTGATCCAAGCCAATCCTCACAAGAAAAGGAAGTAAATATGGAAAAACAAAAAGTATACACAACTATTCTCTCTGATTACTCTATTTAAATGCTGACTGGTTCCTAACAAGACTAACAATAATTTTTTTATGAGCTTCTGTGATTCTCAATTCCAGACTTTCTCAACCAGCAGGAAACGTTTGCGACTTCCACAACTCGTGTTACTAAATTGACCCTAGCAGCAAAGGCAGTCTTCATTTGTGCAGTTCTTTGTTTTGACGTTTTAAAATACTTTTCGCTCATTTATTGGTTGACAGGATGCTAAAAAATAAAAGCCTTCATGAACTTTCTCCCCAAAATTTAGGGAGAACAATGACAAGTAGCCACTCTCAATTAAACAGCCATTAATCAAAGTACCAAAATTGCAGAACAATATTGTCAATTAAACCCCCATTAGCTACATTTGTACCTCCATCAAGTGGCTGCAGCCACCTTTTGGCCATCCCTCCAAGTGTTCTCCTATTGTTGTCACCTCCATTAACCGACCACTTGCCGGTTCCCATAAGGGTAGCTTCTTAATGGAGATTCAACAATACTTTTTACTGGAAGTTTTACTAAAAATTACTTGACACACTGTAAGTCTTACTTGTCGCTGTGACTCATATAGAATACGGTCCATTGTATTTAATAAGGTCATCTTCTTGTACATATCTTGTATTGTCTCTTTGTCCAGCTGGCACAGGTAGGAAATAAAATGATAGAAAAATAATACTAAAATACATATCAAAAAATTAATAATTTATGTTTACTGTACACCAAAAAGTCATACCAGACAACACATCTGTCCATCTCCATCTCTACCCTTCCCATATAAAAGGTGCTGGGCCTATTTGGTGGCAGGCGCAGATCAGTACCGGTTTCCATGATTTTACCAAAAGCGGTCAGATTTTTCATAATAAAATTAATACAGTTATAGTAAAAAGACAAAACTTCACAAGTTGAAAACTGAACATGGTTTGGACAGTCAGCAAGTACCCAGTCTGAATGACTCAGAAACACTGGAAATGAGTCTTTGGGGAGTTAAAATCCCAAAAATTTCCCTGAGGAACATGCCCCCAGACCCCGCTAGAAGCTTGGGCTTTCAGCGCCTTAGGAAATCAGTCAGCATCTATTCAAGATCCGCGCCTGGGTGAGCCTAAATATCATAGCACAAGACCTGCAATAGGCCTGAGATCAAGTTCAGCCATGACCACTACTTTGATTAATTTTTTCTCAATTTTTTACTTCCTTGTCAAGCTTGTACATGCTGTGGTTTATTTCTTTCTCCTTGGTTTAAATTATATTTTCCTACTCTGTATGTTCCAAACTTCTTATCAAAACTAATAATAGAACTGAATAACACCATATATAATCAACTGATTTTCCTCCTACCAGTTGTGACTCTTGACCCAGTTATGTGCCATGTAAGTCTTAGTGCTATAAAGTAACGCTGTCTTGATGGCTTTATCTCCCTGACCAAAATACGCAGAAGTTTAAATTCCTTTATAAAATTCCGATTTTAATGAAAGATGATGGTTGTTTATTGTAAAATGGTATGTTCAATACATTATTTAAATTTTTAGGGGACGGGCCAAGCCCCTAACACTCCCACTGGTATTCTACCTTAGGATCGTGTGATTCGTCAAAAACATTTCCGTTACGATCCATGACTCGATAAACAGGAATCGTTTGACCATCATCGGGATTGACAAAATCCATTTTTTCGGTATAACAGGAATTCGTAGCGCCTGGAAATCTCGGTTTGTCTTGAAATTCATGTTCAGGGATTCCTCCGGCATCTGTCGTCGAATACAACTGCAACGAAATTTTACGCGTAAATTAGGGCTTGCACTTCTGCTAAAAAGCAACGGAGACGGTCAACTTACTCTTAAGGTCCTAAGAGCATTAGGAAGTGTCCTTAGATGGGATATTTTGCCGCGAGAGCCAAGTAATGTAGCCCTTGCCGACGCTCTCACCAACATCAACGTTGCGGCAGCCATCTTGTTCTTATTGTCGATGGTAAAATTGTACAGGGGTAGCGTGAGGAATTGCCGATTTAAGCCATATTTATATTGTAAGGTAAAAAATAAACAGAATATGAAAAAATACAGTTCACTTTCAGAAAGAAAATTAAGGTGATTCTTTATTGTTAATTGAAAACTTAGAACCGACAAGAGAGAAAAAAAAAATCCATCTTTTTATCTAAAAGACCCTTACTCTTCCACCCCACCCTAACTGGAAGGAGAACTGTAACTACACGAGCCCGCGAACACAAGAGCAAATTCAAAATGGCGGACGGAGCAAGTGATGTAGCTGTTCCGAGATTTTCGTCAGAACTGAGATCAATGCGTTGTGAACAGTGTCTCTTGAATAAAACTGATGGATCAGCAAGCTTTTCACAAGGTACGGTTGCATTTTTTGTGCGGTCAGGAGAATTCCACTTCGTGTTTTTTGACTAGACTACTGAACTTTAATCTTATTAAGAAATATAAAAGCCAACACATGTAGAATGTGCCATATTTGTCATTGTTATGCTGGGTATCATACTTTCTAGGAAAAACTGAAGTAATTGCAGCAGCATACGGACCAGCAGAAGTTAGATCAAGTAAAGAGCTCATAGATAAGGCTACTCTAGAAGTTGTATTTAGACCAAAAATTGGTGTGCCTGGTAAGCATGAAATTTAGATTATAAATAATAAAAGGTTGAAAAAATGCATAGGAAAAACACCTCTTTGTTTTCCTGTTACTGCAAGAGAAATTATACTGTGCTCAGCTCTACTATCATCTGGGCAAGTAGTTTCTTTATGTAGCACTTTACTGTGATGTGACACTGCTTTGGCTAGTTCCCAGTTCCTCCACCCTCATTTTCCAGTATCCGGTGGTCTTTGCGGCTTACACTTAATTCCATCCGCCAAACTGACGTTGACACATTAATGATTTGTAACAAATTAGGGCTAGGGTTAGGGTTTGGGTTTGGGTTGGGGTTAGGGTTATATATTTAAATCAAACTGGTATTCGTCACCAAATCCTTGGTGGTGTAGGGGTTAGAGTGATGCATTCCAGATCAGATGCTCCGAGTTCGAATCCTACTCATTCTATCCTCAATTGTTTTTTTCCTTAAAAATTGAAGACAATTTGACTTTTATGAACATTTCATCAAGAAAATTTCATATAAGAAAAGTGAAATGTCTTGTGAGAGGAGGATGTTAGTTTGGTGGATGGAACCAAGTGACGACCGGTCTTTGCTGGGGGGCTTCTATGGGTCCTATTCGCGTTTGGGACTCCGGCTGGCCTTCCCTCAAGAGCATTGTTACAGCACCAGCAGTGACATTTGTCTCATTGTCAATGCTTCCGATTTCTGTAACAATATTCTTAGTTTGTAGCCCACTCTTTGTTTGGTCTCTACCCTTCAACCTTTTTGGCACTGGTGGCCCTACCAGGAATACAAGACTCCAGCCGACATAGCTCTAGGGTTCATTGAGACACTCAAACTAGTCTATCAGGTAAAGGTGGTGACCCCTTTATGAGCAGTCCACTCTACTTTGCTGTGCTCTAATTCAACTCAACTAAACTAGATCCAACTCTACTGGACTTGACTCAATTCTCCTTGATTCTCCTGTCATCATCTCATCTATACTTTACTCTACCCTGTTTATGCTTCTCTACACTGCTTTTCCTACTTAACTCTCCTCTACTCAACTGTACTCTAACGGTTCAATTCCATTTTGCAATCAACCGACTGCATAAGTCTATACTTTTGTTACAATGTACTGGACATCATCTTGTGGTTGTACACTGTTCTTCCCTTACTTTTATCTACCTGCTGCCTGCTACTAAACAACTCTATTCTGGATTCTTTCTTTTTTCAAGGTTGCGCTGAAAAGTTAATTGAGCGAGTTATCCGTAACAGTTGTGAGCCTGTGGTTCTGACAACCAGACATCCTAGGTCTTCACTTGTAGTTGTGGTACAGATTGTGCAGGACTGTGGATCAGTATCCTTTAAACTTCATCATTATTGATACGAGTCACAGAAAAATATGATTCAACTAAAAGTCCTAGTTTTTTTCCTCTACTTGTCTGATATGGATGTACAGAAGGACACAAAAAATTTCTTTTCATCAAAACAACTAAAGGAACTACAAATCAGCTCTGATTGTTAGGTTGACTCATTTTCTTTATTATTTTTTTTGGTACATTTACCTTTCCCTACCTTGAATAGCATTGTTAGCTGGTTTGTGAATAAAGCCTTTTTTTTAGTTAAGGGAAAACTGACTATAGCAAGGAGTATTAGTATTTACAAATCTGCTTATCATGTTTTTAAATCTCCTGTTATAACCAATGGGTCTTGAAAGTGTTGACTTAACAAACCAGAATCAAGTAATAGCTACTTGGAAAGTTAGGTTGAAGAAAATATCAACTTTCGTTAAGCTTTTATAAGGATGGAATATCAGCTGAACCTTCTAGAGCTGGTTATCAAACAGAGTTTAGCCAGTGTTTAACAAAACTGTGTTTTAAGCTATTGACAGTTGGCTCAGCACTTTTATCTTAATACCAGTTATTGTGAATAGTCTTATGGAAGCAACAGGGTGAACTGGAGAAAAATTTACCTTCTTGAAATAACCCACTCGGAAAGAGATCTGGAGGTCCAATATTTTCTTTAACTGCAGCCTTAGTTAGAATTTGTTTAAATAACCAACCCTTAAGGTTTGGCTATTTCATTACTTTAGTTTTAACGCTCTGAAAGAATACATGGTGGCTTTCCTTAATTGTCAAGTTACTTTCGTGTGCTATAAATGCTGCTTGTATGGCTATGGTTGATGCTGGATTTCCAATGAAGTGTCTAGTTTGTGCAGTGACATGTACCATGAATGAATCTGGTGAAATACAGTTAGATCCTACCTCAGAACAAGAAAAGGTGAGAACGTTAGGCAAGAATTTACACTGAACATTACATAACTGACACTTTAAAGTATGCAAAATTAATACACTTTGTGAAGTACACTAATGTATGTTAACAGCCATTCTTGGTTATCATCTCCTAGTTTAAAGGCCTGCCTTGTATAGGCAGACACCTCACGGGTGAGGACCGACAAAACATGGACCCAGTGTCCATGGAACCCCATTTTGAACCGGGTCCATATGAAGGTCCGTCAGCTCTGTGGACCCCCTGTGATGGACCAGGTCCGTAGACACTTCTTAAACTGACAATAAACATTATGGCCGGCTTCAACCTACAGAAATAGCACAAAAATAAGGTTTAGAGGTATTGATTAATGATATCTAAATATGACTAGCCAACCTAGACCTTTTCGTGTACAGTTTGGCAAAATTGTTTGATGCTGTATATTTATGTGTAATATTATTATTTTATTGTTCACTTTTTCTTCATTTATACTTTATAATATTTCTGTTTTGGCGGTTAGGAGACCAAAAAAAAGTGTCCATAGCCAGTCCAAAATGGGGGGGCGGGGGATCCGTGGACCCAACCCAGGTCCATGTTTTGTCCTCACCTGACACCTCACTCACCTCCTGTGATGCATCGAACACAATGGTCATCCCCTGGGGGGAACCCAGGGTTAATGCAACCTTGCATGGGGACAGTGACATATTGTGCAGCCTATGATGGATCATTTTAACTTAAAAGGGAGGGGGAAGGGGCGGAGAATGAAGACTTCTGTATCTCACAGAGGCATTCACCTATACATTAACTTCATACATAATTTATTGGGCATTGGTACATTTTCTAGATAGGCATCTTTTCTCTCAGGTGCCAGTGTTAGGCATGGATCTCCAAGAGGCAGTGTCTTCCTTGAGAATTCTAGTAGCAGGAGAAAGGTGTAATGCTACAGGAGAATGTTTTAAAAGAGGTTCCATGTCTGAATAAAAACTAGTCATAGGCCGCCAAACATTAGCCGGAGAATTCTGCATATTAAACGGAGGATTCTCTGATCTCCAATTTCTAATGAACACCCTGAAGAGGTAGACATCTCTGTAGTTCAGATAACTTTTGGACAGAGACACATCTGTTGGCAGACATCACCAATTGAAAGCCACGAACAGGTAGTCCTCTTCCACAAGGTGATACTGTTTTGTTGGACAGTTACTTGTTCTTTTGCACAAGGAGATGCATGGTCACCATACGTATTTCTAATTTATTTTTGCAGAAAGCATCAGCTGTTGCAACATTTGCGTTTGATAGTACCAACAAAAATGTGATCACATCATCAACAACAGGAAGTTTCACACTGCATGAGGTAAAAACACACGCATATAATTTATGACTTATTTCTTATTTAAGATATATTTACTATGATATCATACTATCATTGCTTTAATTAGGGCCCATGGTGCTTATTACATCAGTTTCTGAGTCAAAAAAGGTGGCAATAATTTGAAGGAGAGCACTTTATTGAAGGAGGGCACTTATTTTATATTTCAGACCTCTCCAGTAAACATGCGGTAACAGTAAACTAGCAGATTGTATCTGTAATGGAAAACGACCTCAAAGTCTTGGGGCCTGTTTCTCAAAAGTCCTGATAATTAGCACATCTGGAAAGCTGTTGTTGTTTACATTCAAGATCAAGGTTTCAATAGTTTTACAGATAACATGAAAAGACTATCAGTTAATAAAATATTACAGAATGGTTTCTTAGCTTGGATCTGCACTCTTATTCTTTAGATTTTGATTTGAATATATTTGATTTCAGGCCTGAAAATTTGCTGGGATTTTTGAGAAACAGGCCCCTGTCCCCACTGAAGTTCTGGGCCCAGTTGTTCGAAAGCCGATTAGCACTTAACCCGGGTTTCTTTTACTTGCGTTCAAAAGCATTTTCTCGGATAATTTTCTCTACTAAGTTTTAGAGCTTCCAATCATTAACTTGTAGACAAAAAGAATTAAAACTGAAATGCTTTTTAAGCTTTCAAATCTGAATTCAAGTCTCGCACTAACCCTGGGTTATCTTAACCCAGTTTTGAACAACTCGACCCTGATATTGATATCTAACCTGTGTACAGACACCCCTCTCCTCAGAAAGGGGAGGTGGTGTCTGTACACATGCCATTAATATCTTTTTATCCTACCTCTTCACCAAATATAGGATTACATATTAAATATATTATTAAATATATATTTGCGGGAGGGCTGGCTCACTTATTTAAAGGGAACACTTAATCAATACTTTCAATGAGGGTGCTACAGAACTTGATTTGAAGGGGACACATATTTGAAGGAGAGTGCAAATTGTAGTATTGACAGTAATTTTCACCTTATTTGAACAGTACAATCAGTGTTTAGAAGCCTGTCGGAGTGCTGCCAACAAACTGTTTGAGTTCTTTAGGTTATCAATGGAGAGGAAGCTATCTAAGGTATTCTTTTCTTGTCTGTATTCTTAGTATTGTAATTTTTTATTTTTTTAAAAAAATTATGATCATCCTATGGTAAAGCTTTTTACACATAAAATGTCTTCACTGGGATGATTTTATAACCTGGCAAAGAAAACCTATGATTTTGAGTGGTCGAATAGGATGATTGACAGAAATAAAAGGTGTGTTCTGTTGGTTAGCATTTTGAATTTGGAAGTCATTTGTTTACAAAAATGCAGTAATGTAGACAATAATTATGGGATAGTTTAAAAGAGGTTATGTCAGGCTATTTGCTATCTTTTTGAAAAGCTTAATAGTGTCTTTCCATCAATTGAATTCCAAAAATAATGATCCAGTTTTGTTTTTTTATAATATGACTCTTAAAAGAGTCATATTTAAGCATTGAAACTGTTTCCTGTTGTCTTTTGCTATGGACTGCAAGGATGGACATGGATTGAAACTGGAAAGTGTTGGGCCAACTTTTTCAAGTTATAATACCATGCCTACAAGAATCTCCTAGAAATATTATGATTTTTGCTCCCTGATGAAATTTGTTAGGTATCTTCTACATAACTGTACAGGAGAAGTTTGTGTATTGCTAGGGGCACTTAATAATGGCTTCAGCACATAAATGACCTAAAACAATAATATCCCTGTGACATAGGATTAGCCCCTTTAAGCTATGCAGAAGAGAATTGAGAAGTGTCGAAACACTTTGAGATGCTATTAAATGTTTTTTCCATTCTTGACAATTTTTGAGCTGGACCGGTTTGAATTCTCCACTTTAATATGTACATACATACATACAAACATGCATACCTAATTTACAATGCAGATATTACAGGCCTGGCTGGGTAGAGGAGAGTGATAACTCCCGTATGATAGATACGGGGAAGCTCTTTCCTCTCTCTTTCCTCTTCCAAAGGGGACCAAGGCTCCGGCCTTATATGACCCAAAAGATCCTTTTTTTAACGCAAGGAACCAATTTCCGGAACCATTTTAGAGCGGTATTTTTTGAAATGCGCGAAACTCGTTGAAATTGAATACAGAATAAGACGGAGTTTGAAACTCTTTTTATATATTTTTCTTTAACTGCCTTAAGAGATTTCCTTATAGGTAAAAAAACATCAGTTTTACATCCTGAGGTCCTTAAGTGAGAACAAAATCCGCGATTTATAACCAAAAGTGATGTGAATTGCATCGCTGTCTCTTTCTTTCGGGTATTTCCCGGGAATATGGAACACGAAAATACAAAAAAGTTGATAGTTTTGCCCTAAAATAATGAAAAACAGTTAAAAACGGACCCAAGGAGCACTAGGAGGTTTTATACAGTCGACAATAAGCAACGTCGAACATGATGCTGTTAAAGTATTCTTTTGTGTACAGTATTTCGATTTAATATATCGTAACTTACAGTCAGGCTAGTGAGATACGTTAGGCGCGTACTAACTGGAAGATATATTTGATTTTATTCAAGATACTCGTCATCTTTGCACGCGCCTTAAAATCATTGGGGTAAAAGCAATGTCACATGGTATTTCAGGGAGCAAACAAGCGATAAATTTTGCGAATAGAAGAAATCGCGGTCGAGGTATATGCAGTTGAGTTTATTCTCTCAAAACGCGAGGACAGTTTTAGACTAGCAAAATGTACAGGTCGAGTTTGGACAAGTTTCACATGATTGCTTGCTGTGAGCACATCTCCGTGGAGACCCTTTTGTGTTGTGTCGCGCGCTTTCTATTTTTCGATTACTGCTATTTTTTACCCACCGAATTCAAAAAATAAGAACGATCATTTCCACCCATAATTTGCAATGATCGTCTTTAAGATAAAACGTTCCATTTCATTTTCTGTTGTCAAGAAATAAACAAACACGACCAAGATTTGTTTGCCCGCCTGTGAAACCACGTGATGTTGCTTTCATCCCATCAGTCCCCAAGCGCGTGCAAAGATGGCGGGTACCGTGAATAAGGTCTACCTTAGAGCGAATTTCGTATGACCTTGAAAAATGGTTTCGCCTTCGGTAAGTGTTCGTTATTTGTTTTATCAGCCAATGGATGAAAAGATCAGAACGTGGACTGTTCGTTTTCCCGCCTAAGAAAACCCTATTATGGAGAAGGCATTGTTCGATTGGCCAATCGTTTTGCAGTATGATGTCACAGCGAAGTATCGATTCATTTCTAGAAAGTTCTCAGGCATGAAGTTTTTTCACCGGAGCGTTCGCTTAACCAACCAAAAGCCATGAGCGTTTGTCAGATCCGTTCGATAACCAATCAAATCGCTGTATTTCCGTTCGTTTGTTGTTTCTGTTTTGTTCGCGCGTTTCTATTTCAAGGTCATACGAAAATCGCTCTATTACCTGGTCGTGTGATATCAGTGTAAAAGTGTGTGGATAATACAATCAACTTAAGTCCTTTAAATTTGAAGTTAACTATAACATCGGTTCCTTAATGTTATTTTTTAAAACAGGACGCGAAGTTCATGGACCTGAACATCGCTTGATAATGACAATTCTATTGAGAGACTTATGTGACCAAGATTTCCCTGGCAAAACAAGGTTACTGTCAAAACAGATAGTGGACAATTTACTTCGCCTTTTCTTTGTTGTGTACAAAGCTGCTTGGAAATCTAAACAACACTAGTGGTGAGAATAAACTACATGGCAAGTTTGGTCTTCAAATCTTTGGTTTTTGTAACACTTTCGAAAGATGTTCAAGTCACCAAGGAGGCGAGGCAGTGTGGCCCAGTGGCTAGCGCCTTGGACTCGCAATGTGGTTCTAGTCCCGCTCTGACCACCAGCTGGTTTATTGTCAGTTGTCCCGAGTTAAAATCCTCGGCTATGCTTGTAAATAGCCGGCTAGTTGCTTCCTGACAGTTGGGGTTTTTTAATCCTATTATGTTCTGTTTGGATTGTATGTTTCTAGTTATTGGGCTGCTTGTGACACCCCAATTATGGTCCTCTACCCTTCCGGAAGCCCGCTTGTTCATCCCTCAGCTGCAGGTGTATTGCATCATTTAGCCGCAGGATGATGATCATCGTGAGAGTCTTGTTTGGGATGGATAAAAGTGTGATTCGATTCCCCGACGATTATTGCAATTGTTGCGGACTTCTTTCTTTGGTATTTATACAATGATGCCCTCTGTCCAGTACGTTGGTATCTCACTTCTTTCCCATATAGTTGTTAAGAGTGGAAGAAGTATCTCGGCTGCAAGCTCTAGGTCTGCTATGAGCAATTCTGCGTTGAGGTTTTCCAGTCCAGGGGCTTTTCTATTTTGGACGTGATTGCTCATATGATCTATTTGTTCTTAGGTGGTGCATTGTATTAACGTACATATCATGCTCTGCTTTTTATCTGCTGACGTATGCCGTTAGCCTTGAACGTCGTGCTAAATCTCTCCAATGCCTCCATGGCGTGGCGTGAAAGCAGAACTTCAGATTATTCGGCGATTACGTTATTTTTGAGGGCACTTTATTCCGTGGAGAAATCATGTTTAAGGGAGCTGAATTTCTAAAAATCTCTTAAATTAACGAAAACAGGTCTTCTCAGAATTACACCTTAATAAGTCTGAAACATGTTCGTTCGCGTTAAGACACTGCCTCACGTTACAAATGATGAGCAGCTGGATAAAGCTTTGTATGCCTGGTTTATTCAGCAAAAATCAACTGGAAAGCCGATTTCAGGAGAAAGCAAAACATTTCTCCGCGCAGTTAAACGCGGAGCTTATTCACAATTAAATTTTGTTTTGTTTATTCTCTATTTTTACATTATTGCCTCATTAATATTCATATTTTCGATTATTCGGCGTATTTTGTCCAGTCCCAACGAGTCCGGATAATCGAGGTTCGACTGTAGGGGGATAGAATAAATAGAGAATAAAACAGGAGTGCGGAAATGTGGTATTTTCGGTTTTTTCCTCACTTTGGCCAGTTGTTTAACATCTTTGCCGCTTCAATTCTGCACTTATTGCACCAACGGGTAATTCGGCAGCAAAGTACCAGCTTCATATAGAGTTTAAAATAACTGCCCCTGCGGTCGTCTTGTCGAAGTGGCGCTGGTAAACCATTTCAAACGGCTCCAGCTTAGGGGACCGTTACAGCCCTCGGAAAGGTGCCTGTTTCTGGCCTTTGCACACAACATCGGCGCAACATCGATCATCATGTCACGAAGACTATCGCGCCGCGAAACGTTCAAAAAATTCACTTGCTGTCCAAGCACAGCTTGTCTTTGGCACAATATATAATGTGTGGAAAGGAAGAGGGAAAGGAGAGGTGAAGTTTAAAGTTTTCGCTCTAAGTTTTAGGGTTTTTTTATCGCTTGCCGGGCTCACGTTGAAAACCAATTTGAAGTTGCCGGTGTGTTGAATTTGAAAAGGAGATGACGCTGACTACCAAAATACTGTATCGCGACTTCAAGAACGTATTTCTGCGGTCCCGGCTGCGGTGCCGCTAATAGGCCAATCTCGTTCCCAGAGGCCGCGATCCTTTTCGTCAGCGACATGGATCTGGACCTCTGGGATAATCCGTTTGCGACAACAGGGTTCTTGTGAAAGGTTTGAACCCAGGAGTCATATCAAAAGGTTGAGTTTGATCGTCCGGGTGAACGTAGTCCTGAATAGGACTGTTGTTGTTGACAGTGACTGACGTTTCGACAACCTGTGCGGTAGTCATCTTCAGAGTCAAAGTGAGTTGTGTCACGTCAGTTGATGGTATTATACTCTGGTTATTGATCTGATTGGTCAATTATGTCGCGATGTTATTGGTCGTCTGTCAGTTAAGCCGTGATGTTATTGGCTATGAAGACTCGTAATCAGTGATTGGTGCGTTTCGATCCGTCTATTGTTACAGTTAAACAGTCGTCTATTGCTAGTCAAATTGTCAGTTCTCCAGTTGTTCTCTCGTAGTTAGTTTTCCTTGATCTCGTCAATAAGTCGTTTGTATGGCGCTGGTAACTGTTGGCTACGATTCAGTGGCGTTTGTTCTAAGTTAGTAAACCAGCTTTCTAAAGTAAGACGTTGATAGTAGTCTGTAGAATACGTTATACATGTCGCAGAGTCCCAGTCAATTTGATGTTTCGTCTTTAAATGGTGCTCAGCAATGTGATTGTTGACGTCACCATTCCTCGTCGCGCGTTTGTGTTCGGTCAGTCGCGTGCTTAGGTTTCTGCCGGTTTCACCAATGTAAGAAGCCTGGCAGTCGCAGCATTTGATCTTGTATACTGCTCCCTGGTAAGATACCTTTTCTAGACTGCTTGGTCACTCGCGACAACAACAAACTAAAAACGACTATTTACAGAAAACCGACACATACCGACCGATTACTAGACCAGTCTTCGTACAACCCGACCTCTCACAAGATTACTACTATCCGGACTCTGACGAGACGAGCGCGACTAGTTTGCGACTCACATGACAGCCTACAAGACGAGACTGATTATCTTAACGTTTTTAGTAAGAACAATTACAACACGGACTTTGTTAGACGGAACACTCACAGTAACACTGATTCCAACTCTCAGACAAACTCTGGCCCTGTTAGGACAGCGACTATACCGTACATCAGAGGCACCTCTGAAACTATTGCACGTATATTACAACCTTACAATATACGTGTTGCGCACAAACCGATAACCACTTTACGGCGACTGCTTACTAATGTCAAGGACAAAGACAAACCGGAGGACAGACAGGGAGCAGTATACAAGATCAAATGCAGGATTAACAGGATTCTTGTTGTCGTCCCAACTGCGCAGGCCCGAACCAATAAGAGCAACAAGAAGATAGAAACTAAGATTTTTATGCAGTTGACACGCACCTCTAGTAACGTGCTCTGTGATTGGCTGGTTTGTTTGATAGGGTTGCGAGGGTTGTAAGCCATCCGATTGGCTTATTCAGTATTTCGCCATGGGGTTGTAACATAAACCACACGGCTCATTCTGCTCATTTCGTGCTCGATTGTCTTCATCTTTCGCGTTTGGCTTATCTGTAGGTTTATTCACGCTGCATTTGTTCATTGTTTCTTGTGCCAAGAGGTTCGCTTTTATTTTCTATTTTTAGTCTTGTTTCTTGTTGTCCAATCCATTTCGCTTTGCAAGTGCAGTTTTCTTGACCGTTATGTGGTCGATTCCTTCCATTCGTCTCACTTCGTTCGGTAAAGGTATTGTTAACGCTGTTTTTTTGCTCGTTGGCTGTTCGTTGTCTTATTTGTTCCATTTTCTCGTTATTCATTTCGTTTCCTTTGTTGCTGCTATTCTATCCTTCTTTCCGTGTTAGCCACGTGTGTCGGCCATGCGTTCGTGCATCCAAGAGCACTTTAATCGAAGGAAGCCTCCAAATTGCGAGAAATGTGGTTATCATCTTGGCCGAACAAACGAGTCGGCCCCCAAGAAACCAAAGCGGAACTGTCCCAGTGCCGTTTTTTCGTGGGTTCGATTCACTTTTCTTGTAAGACGAGCACGAGGGTTGATCGTTGTTTCGCCGTAAGAGAAGGAGACAGCGTGTTTTGCTCGCAAAAAAAGGGGGTGGTAGGCCTAAACGACTTTTACCTCATGCCAAAATGCTGCTCGTCCAAAGAAAGTTTTTTTCCTCTGCTGGGTAGATTATGCTCTGGAAGGTTCTACATTTTCACTGAGCAAATGTGATTTTAGGCGCTTGTTTCACACTGAGAGGTCATGGCACACATATCCGGATTTATGCACCTATCAATGTAAACCCTGTGGGGGCGGGCAAGGCGTGGGGATTTGACAAATTTTAAAATTTTTTGATCAAATTCCCCAGGGTGGGAAACGAAAGGTCAATCGAAAGTGTCAAAAAACCCCCGCCCCAGGGGAAAAATGTAAACAAACAATACTATAATACTATATAAAACGAATGAAAGAACATTTCAAAAGTACGTTCTTACTACTTTTATTTAAGGTTAACGTAAGCTCCGTTAAGTTACTCGCTGTAATTAAGTTTTTTCTCTCTCCACTAGCATCTCTTATTTTGAACAACATAATCACTCCAGGAAGATTTACCATGCTATTATATTAAAGAAACGTAAAATGCTTTATAACATCGGCTCAACGTGTCGGAACAGGTCGGATCAGTGACCTGTAAAAAGTCCTCTGACTTTCATGGTAGAATTCGATTTCAATCGAGGTTTACAATCAGATGGGAACTTGAAGACAAAAACTTTCTCAAAATAGACATTAGGGCCATTTATACGAGGAAAAATAAGACGCGTCTTACATAAGACGCGAACTGTACCATTTATATGAGCATGTCTTATCTAATAAGACGCGTCTTAGCTAAGCCGCGTCTTAGTTTAGACGAAATGTGCCGTTTATACGGAAAGTTCGCGTCTTATTTAAGACGCGTCTTATTTTTCCTCGTATAAATGGCCCTATTATCTGTTTAGATGACAGTGTAAAGTATCGGATTATGGCCATTAAAACAAATAAAAACTTCATAACTTTCTCCAACAGCGTGACTTTCAGAAAGCCTCGAGGGACGGACTTGGTTACTGCTTCTGAATTGATACCAGGCTTCTATCGGTCAAAGTCAAATGTCCCGACCCCGGGGTCGCTTCGCACGATCAAAAGCCCGACAGGGGGATAGTCTCAGGCGTCAAATCTCCGCCCCTTGCCCGCACTCCCCTCCCCCCACGGAATTTACATTGATAGGTGCATTACTGTGGTTTTTGTTTCTGGTCGGCAGGATTTGCCCTCTGATACAAGAGCATTTTCTTTGACCTCAGTCTTTTTATTACGGCTGAATAAGGGTTCTAATTTTCCCCGAAGTGTCTTCTGGATCTGAATAACTAAGCGTTTTTCTTTAGTCGGCTCCACCTTAGTGTTTTGCTAAAGCTAATGTGAGTCTTGACTGTAGCGCGTATTTCTTTCCCTTGGTAATAGTGTTTGGACTGTTTTGTTATTGCCACTTTGTGATCAGACAAGACCATGGTTTAGGTTCTCCACGCAAGCCTCATCAGTCAGGGGCACCCAACGTCAATTTTCGAAAAATATCTGTTCGGAAGGCGATGTGAGATCTAGAATTTTCGAAACATTTTTTGTAAAATTTCTTGCTTGCCTGCCTCTCCTACCATTTTCGAACATCTAAAAAAATAGTATAATTGCCCATTTTTAACGGATTTTAACTCTAAAAAGGTCCCCTAGACTTTTCGGGAGCCTTTTCTTTTGCTGAAATTTTCGAAAAGGTAAGTTTTGATCCCTATAATTTTCGAAACACTAGACTTTCAGCTAGGAAAGCCGAACGATGAAAAATTTTTTGGGGATAAAAGCATGCCTATATCTACCGTTTAAATACTAAAATACGTTTGACAATACTATGTTTGAGTGGCTTTGAACTATATTCTCGTTGGGTGCCCCTGATCAGTTGCCAGGTTGGCTTTGTACCTCAGTAGTTGCATTAACAAGAGCAACTTTCGTTCTTTTTTTTTGTAGCAAGAACGGTAAAGCCGCTTTGTCCTTGAGCATTAATACCCGCGTGGCGATCCTCTTCTGCTTGAAGCTAGAGGTGTTTCTTTTGTTGT